GAAAGCAGACAACAGAACATTGCTAGAGAGCAGGAAAGAATGTGAAAGGAGACAATTTTAGAGAAGAAAATTTTTCGGTCGCTACCAGGATTCGAACCCGGGACCTTTGAATGAGAGGCCAACACCTTAACCTCTAGGCCACGAGAGCCCCGGGTCTACTTGTGTGTGCAAGTTGGTTCTTGTTTTGATCTGGATTTGGGTTAGGGGTTGGTTTAGATGTAGGTTTACGGGTGAGGTCAGAGGATTAGGATTGCTGATGGTAGTAGACTAGGAGAGGGGGCTCTCGTGGCCTAGAGGTTAAGGTGTTGGCCTCTCATTCAATAGGTCCCAGGTTCGAATCTGGGTGGCGACCGAAAAATTTTCTTTTCTAAATTCTCTCCTTTCACCTCATTTCCTGCTCTCTAGCAATGTTCTGTCGTCTGCTTTCGTCTCGTCTTTCTGCCACCACCCCCTCACCTCCTTTGCCCCTTCCTCTGGGCTCCTGATTCTGTCTGCAGCCTTTCTACTGCTACTCCTTCGCTTCTTCTTACTGCTGTCTTTTTGCCACACCCCTGATCTTCGGGTATAAAGATCTACACCTAGCCTTCTCGGACAAGGGCGAAAAATCTCGGAGGGCCCGTGTGCAAGTTGCGCCCATTAAAGATCCCTTGGTGGTCTAAAATCGCTAAGAGTAGGCTTCGGTCGCCACCCGGGTAACATTCAAAATGTTCTACCAACTGAAACTATTATGTGTGTCCCGCGCGCTCATATGACCTAATGCAGTTGCGAGCGCCGTAAAACACTTTACAAAAACATGAAGAACAGATACACTGTGACAGACTGTCATGTAGAACAGATTGATACACTGTGACAGACTGTCATACAGAACAGATTGATACACTGTGACAGACTGTCATGTAGAACAGATACACTGTGATAGACTGTCATGTAGAACAGATATATACACTGTGACAGACTGTCATGTAGAACAGATACACAGTGACAGACTGTCATGTAGAACAGATTGATACACTGTGACAGAATGTCATGTAGAACAGATTGATACACTGTGACAGAATGTCATGTAGAACAGATTGATACACTGTGACAGAATGTCATGTAGAACAGATTGATACACTGTGACAGAATGTCATGTAGAACAGATTGATACACTGTGACAGAATGTCATGTAGAACAGATTGATACACTGTGACAGACTGTCATGTAGAACAGATTGATACACTGTGACAGAATGTCAAAATAAAACATTGTGAGAGACCTTCAAGTAAAACAAAAACATTGTGATAAATTTGCAAGTAAAACAAATACATTGTGATAAATTTGCAAGTAAAACAAATACATTGTGATAAATTTGCAAGTAAAACAAATACATTGTGATAAATTTGCAAGTAAAACAAATACATTGTGATAAATTTGCAAGTAAAACAAATACATTGTGACAAATTTGCAAGTAAAACAAATACATTGCGATAAATTTGCAAGTAAAACAAATACATTGTGATACATTTGCAAGTAAAACAAATACATTGTGATAAATTGCAAGTAAAACAAATACATTGTGATAAATTTGGAAGTAAAACAAAGACATTGCTGTAGACTGTCACAGAAAACAAACATTGCGGCAGACTGTCAAAATAAAATAGATACA